AAAAAAAGCGACGGAGGACCAGTTCTGAAGAGCTGCCATCCGCCAACGCCGCCGCAATTCTTCTGCTGGCAATTATACTACTATTGTGCTGTTTTTGAATTGAATCGTAAAAAAAGCGGTCTATTCATAAAACAATTGAGGTATTCTCATGGGAAACTGTGGAGTAATGATTCATAGGGTTATTTTGAAGGGTTTCAGGGCCTGGGAACTAATCTGAACCCTGAGCATTTCAAGTACGAGCAACCGGAAACATTTTTGTTGGTGAGCAGACGTTGTTCCGGTGTATTGAGGAAGTCCTCACGGGGACGGGCTGGAATAGTGGAAGAAAACTAGTCACGAGGCGGAAAAAGACATCCGGCAAACGTAAAGAACGATTGTGCATATCGGAAAGAATGGTGACATTCGGCGCCGTCATAGAATAATCGAGCATATCCTCATGGAGAGGAGGAAGTGGGTGAGGGGGGAGCCGATGCAGTGAGGGTATAACAGCGTTGGATGTAGGGTGAAATGTCGTCGGAGAGTAATTACCGGATAGCGCACGACTAGTTGCTTGATGCATAAAAACGTCGAAAGCAATAAGTAATTGGATAGAGAAAGTGGGGCCAGAAAGAAAAAGCGGCGCTGAAGACTGACAGAATGTGGACATACGACTGAGCGAATAACTTTTGACTGCAACAAGTGAAAACAACAAAGACTGTCGTCATTTTTCATAAAAACCATCGCAAAAAAGCAGGAGGTACGCTAAGTACGCTTGGCATTCCAGACAGGAGGCACCAGGCAATTCAAAGTAGTCAACTAGTAGAGTATAAGAGTATGGCGAACAGAAAAGTATCAAATTAATAAAAATTGTGTCGGAAAGATGATTGGTGTAAGTTACCTGCTTGAGAATAAAGTAGTATATTCAATTGATCAGCGGGTGGTAAACTTCTGGCCCATTCACAAATGGCAGCTCTACGATGCAGTTCTTGAACATCCATTTGTTGATTCTCCCACGAAGACTGACCGTCCACATCCGGCTTGGCGCCCATCTGCCGCAGTCCATAAGGACAATGACGATGCGGTCTCAGTCGGCGTAGCTTCTCTCGAATATCCTGTGCAGTTGGAGTCGTTCGAGACATTCGGACGGTTCGATGAGGTCGTAGAACACGAAGATGGTTACGAATATCAGCAGAAGAGCTAGCTGGAGGTTCAGACATGTTCCAGGACTAGAACGTGGCAATAAGGTGCCTCTAGGCGACTGGGGTGGGAGGAGCCGAATCGCGGAGTAAACAGCCGCAACTATCACAAATAAACAAACGGCGACTGCCGCACCAGACACAACAGGTGATAACTGCTTAGTAATTGTCTGGAATAGTTACGAAAAGTTGAAATAGGCGCCGGTGTTCCCACGATCGCCAAGACGCGAACGCTCGGTGAGGGTTTTTGAGCGCCTGAACGAATTTGCAACTGGAAATGAGCGCCGGGCCACGCCCTGCGGTGCGTCCTGGAGCGATGAGGGGAGGTGCGAGAGAGAGAAGGAGAGTCGACGGTGAGAATTGTCGCCAGGGAGGAATTTGAGCGATACACACCAAGAGGGTGGTAAGGTCGTCATCGACACCACCTCCAGACGTCTGGTCAATACGTCATTCTGGCCAGCACCTGAACTTGTACCGTGACCAACAGGCAGCACTATCAGTCACTTCCTGACCGTTCCCCACACAGGTCATTGTAAACATAGACAGTTTTCGAAATCGGATAGTGGGCGGTGTTTATTTACATTTCTCGTCAAATACCAAACAAAGCTAGCTAACCTTTTCCTGAGTCGGCCAAGCTCATAATCTTGGTATTTTTTCTTTTTCAATCTGAATTCACTCTTTATCTAACCATCTCAAAAACAACCATTCGGCAATAAATCACCTAAAATCCGTCGTTCACGCACGTGTAAAACGATTGGACGAGCGAAAACAAAGAACTTTCGCTGATAAAAACAAAAAACCCAAGGTGAGAATACCTTGAAGCCTCATTCTCAAAGGCTTCTATGGGGACATTTCACCTGTTCTACGAGTCCCGAACTAGTCACCCTCATGTCTCATCCGAATCTGGTACTATCAAATCCATTCTGGTATCTGGCTGGTTCAATATTGCTGACCCAGATTCGGACACTCTACGTGCCGATCGTTGGCGTTCACATTCACGAATTACGTTGAAAGAGAAGAAATACACCAATCGTTCGTTACAGATCGAACCGGAGCTCCCACAAACCAATGAGTATCATTTGACAAGCTCTAAGTTCAGACATTGGAGGTGGCCTATGCACCCTGTTCTCAAGACCGTCCAAAACAGCCAACACCTATGGGGTCAGCCTACAACGTCCGGGTATATCGCCGTCGAAGTTGCATGAACCTGATTGCTGTAGTTTTACCCCACTAATAATTAGATTAAGCATGGTAGCAGGCGAGAATTCGATTTGGCTTTCTGAGAGCCGAAAAACTTGGACCTAACAATAAGTCTTAAAACAGTAAGAGTCAAAGAAAAGTACTTAGAAGCAGTATTTGGTGAGACAGCTCATTCCATATTCCTCTTCTCACTGGAAATTACCCTTCCATCGATATGAAATGTACTTTTCCACAACTAGAAAGGCATTCCAAGTAATCGCTCAATTCCTGCATACCTCGTCTCTTAGTAACGATACTGAAAGTTGCGGAACGCTCCCGAAAGCACCTCGACGTGGCGAGGTTACGAGGTCATAGATGGCCATAGTTCAGGATTGAGTTCACTACCACCACCACGTCGTATATCGCACGTTTAAGCCCGAGAGCCCGAATCCATCCCCAAATTATCCGATCAAATTACCGTTGAGGAAGCTTGCGGACACATATGACAAAGGGAACCAGCCATATCAGTGATTCAAAGCTCAGCCTTTCGACATTGCTCGCTGGCGGGATATGAAATTACGTACTGGAGCAAAAATAGGTCCAGAACGGACATGAGTGAATGGCCACTTTTACAAAGTCGCTAGAAGGGATCCGTACGAAATGGGTCCGTTTGAAATATTGAGGGGGCAGTAATCGAAAGCAGAATGTGAAACAGACTCCTCAAAACAACTTGCTAGCCATTGAAATCAGAGTTTTCTAAAAATTTGAAGGACCAAGAAAATGTTTTATTTACCTGAAAAAAAATTGAAAAAATAAGTTCCAGACATGGATGTTCTGTTCCCATATGGTGAACTCGTCACAGCTCTTCCCACTGCACCACTTCTTCTCCAGCAGCTACTTATCCCTCCAGAAAACCTTTTAAAATAGAAACCTACAAGTTCTATACAATTACAGCCTGGCAAAGCCAGATTTATTCAGCATCCTACCCCATGCAACGGTCTAAAGGAACGATCAAAGAGGCAGGAGTTGACTTCAGTTAAGTTCCGGATAGAACCTCGAGACTACGTACGCAGTACGGTAAAAGAGTATGTTGTGATAGTAGAGCTGAATTGGCCCTTTTCTCATCCTGTCTTCATGATATCCAGCGTTACTCAGGTAAACTAATCAATTACTCCACCAATCGTTCGATCGATAGAAAGGCTGATGTACCGGTTTTCAGCGCAATGCGGTGTACGCGCACTTCTCCTCCTCCTTCATCGTTTTGCTCTCGTCGGACGGGATGCATCTCCGGCTCGGCAACTGGTTTTACGCCGATTCTCATCGCCCCACACCCGCGATCCCTTTCGGATTCCCGCATCGTCACACACACAAAAGACCATTTCCATTTTCATTACCATCCATGGACCATAGCCTTTCAAGAATAGAAACTGACACTGATTGTCAATTAGAAATGTGTAAGGACAAAACAAACAGCGCTAATAAATTCTTCAAGAGTACGCCATGCATTCGACTCCCATTCAAAATCTTTCGAAACTCTTGAATGCATGTGTGGCCATTTTATTGCTTTGGACTACATTATTGCAGTATTCCTATATCCTTGACTTGGTAGAAGCTGGAGAACCCTGAATGCACACGGGCTTATCGACCTGGGCCAGAGTTTCATAACACAAATAGTGAAGAGACGGCCGGTATGCTTGATTACTGCGCCCCCTCCAGTTACTCCTGACACCAAATGTGACGAAAAGGTGTCAGAGGTAAATTATAGGATGACAAGTCTTCAGTATCAATCAATCCATCAATCCCACCTCTGTGATGCGCCCTGCACTTCACTTCTATTTAGAAACGTACTGGCGGTTTGAATACGTGTGCAGCCCATGCAATGACTCAGAAACATTGTTCTTGAGCTGCATAGTAACGGACAAAAGTGGGTCTGAAGGCACCATCCGGAACGAATTTCAACTTAAACTACTTCAAATTGCTGTTATCACATCATAGAGCAGCGAAGCCGTTGTTTTTGTTGATATTTTGTAATTCAGAGATTATCCTCTAGATCCTTAAATCGAGTGGATTTAGGGATAATCTCAATCCACAAAGGATAATGATAAACGTTGACGTGACGTTAATCACTTCCGCCTGTAAGATGCTCCCCCGCACTCGACTTCCGCTCGGAAGCGTGGCG